GAATATTTTTTATGATTTTTATATCTACCATCGAGTGAGAGGGACGGGAGAATGGAGATTTATGAAGATGTGAATTTATTATATCAGCGAGAGAGAGACTGATTTTTTGTTGTTTAACTTCTTATTGATTTTCTTGCATTTCGATGTACGTAATATGTGGCAGTTTGTTGTGTTTTAATTTACACGATTTAAAATGGACAACAGCGATAAAACAGCCAGCCAGACATATCTCAAGAAACTTACTTAATTTGATCAATTATATTACTATTCCCTAACGACATTCTAGCAGATATCATTTCGCATATGTATATGTTCAAAATGAAATTTATATCGGCATTTAATTTTAAATTGAAATTTGAATAAATTTTCAATGCTTTTCGTCTTCCTATTTCTGGAAAGATTAAAAAATCGCGTTGCCACTTCATGAAAAGATTACCCACCGTGTATGAAAAGGAAGCTATAAGTGAAACTAGATGTCGATGATGATTCGCGATATTTCCTCGTTAAGATTGGGATCTGATATAGATGAAATCATTCCGATTTTATTTCACTTTCACTGGTAATTGTGATGACTAAAGATTGTAGACATAATCGCGGAATTTGAATTTTACTTGATTTTTTGTTATACACTCATCTGTAAGTCAGTACATAATGGAACTTTCTCGACTGTTTGCATTACTAGATCTCCTTGCGGTCAGTTTAAACTGATCACACATCTTTATAGAAGTGCTGTAAGCAAGCTTAAGATTCAGTATCGTCGTCGTTCCGCTGAACAAAACAATTTTATTGTGTTTATGGTGTTCCGATATCTCGACTTTCATGGCAATAAAGGAAAGAAAGAGCAGCTGCGCGACGGATACGTTATAACAGTCCAAGGTCAAATAACCGTAATGCAGATTAAGCGAAGTATCAGCGACCTCATTTGAGGGGTAGCTGGATGTAGTGTATTGTCGTTTATTCCAACTAAAAAGAAACCATAATTATTGACCGTTGCGAACAACAATTAATGCGAAAGGGACGCGACATGGAAAAAATCATGATATCTTAAGTTTACAACTTAACGTAGAAGCAGCACTAACTTAAAATATGATATCCTCCCCATCTCATTCATTGGACATTATCATTTGTGACTATCGCTAGATCCGAGCGATGGCTCATGGCCTTGTTCAACAGCACCTCCATTTTTATGGCGACACGTACGAAATGGATGTTCCCGGAGAAAGTTTCAGAAAACCAATTTTACGTTCGATAAAGAAATCTCATTTGTCTGGTAAAGTGGGGAAGAAAACAAATTCTCATTATTTTACTAAAATAATCTCTTTCGTTGAAAAAACTTGTTTCGATTAATAAATAAATAAATCAATAAATCAATAATGTTATGTTAAATTCAGGATAAATAGGGCCGCAAAACTAAAGATTGAATAATGAAATCGTGCACAAGGCTCTCGTGAACAATTTTCTTTTTAATTCTTTCGTGTTTTCCTGCAGCAGCTTTGTTAGTGAATAATACAGTCGCAGCGGATATTTATTGGGTTGCTGTTCACTCAGCAAGAGAATGAAGACTACGGTCTATTGGACAATGAGTGCTAAATGTCGAAGAGACTTGAGTCTATCTACCAACAAACCACCACAAGGCCCAAGTTCAACGGCACAAGTTGAACGGCTAGCAGACTATAGTGACTAAAGGTGGGACCGTGTATATTTGACATATTGTGAACATAGGTAATAAGCGATTTTAAGCGAGGAAGGGAAGGGTACATATTATTAAGTTTTGTGTAAAAAATAATGTTTGCGAGGAAATAAGACGATCTGACATCCCTATACACGCAATTTACTGTTCAATTTGTTTCTTTTTTTTTAATCAAAGCGAAAGTGAACAAAAGGGAGGAAAAGACAAAAAACCCAATTATCGTACATACATCTAGATTGTGAAAATTGTGTAAATTGTATTAAATAAATTTGAGTGCAAGTTCCCTCGGTTTTACAATAAGCCGCGAAGGAAAACATTTTGCCCTTGCTAGCCCCATTGAAGAGAGATGAGAGATGAGAGAGAGAAAGAGAAAGAGAAAGAGGAAAAGGGAGTGTTAGAGAGATTGAGAGTGCGGTTTGTATGAATCCCCTGTAAATTATTAATTTCTATGTATTAATTAATCCCCGTTCGTGTTTACTTTGAAAATGTCTTGTAAATGATTTACTTACAATCAGTATGTATACATGTATATTGGAGGTGTGCAGTACAGCCATCAAGAATTCAACTCAACTACTCACACTCAACATATTCACTAATGTATGCATATTGAAGGCCTCTTATAAATACAAATGCATCAAACATATATACATACATATATACATACATACATACATACATACATACTAGGCGAGCAAGCAATAAGAGGCAATGCATCTAAGTATAGCTCATTATCCTTTTGGTTGGTTGGGTTCGTGGCTGCTATTGCAATTAAATTAGAAATGATGGCAAATGCTTCATCGCAATGATGGTGCCGGTAGTGGTGGTAATGGAGAATGCTTGATGTTTATCTGGCCGCTTGATATGTAATTATATTATTTGTTTTAATATTAATATACAAAATTGCAATTATCAACCAATACATAGCCAATGATACATGTGCGTACAATATGCGATAACTTCTTCTTATTAAATACCCATGTGCATTCTACGACAGACGTAGAGGTCGTAGAGGTGAGGTTATATGATGTTTAGGGCTGAAACTACTTTTGTATATAATTTGATTAGTTATCAA